CAACATTAGCTAATCCATTTATTAACTATCTGGACTACTGCACCTGTTGACACTTCTTCAACACGTCAGGAGTTCGGTGCTCTGTCAAACTCTTGTTGAAATACTGAATTGCTTCTTTGTACTTTTCCTGCTTGAAGTACGAGTTGCCAATTCGAGCCAGGGCCCTATGAGGAGACAGATTATAGCAAGCATGTTATTACAGATAGTCAAGATCATTTGTTTACGCAACTTTAATAAAAGCCACTCAGGTGGAAAGTTAGTCAGTACAACACTGCTTCCTTGACACTACAATTCACAGTGTTTCTCTACTGGTCACTAAGTGGCCCCATTCAGTGTTGTTTTTGATTTCTGATGTGGGAAGGCAACACATGTACACCCACACAGATGTATGTGGTTTTCATTCCTATCAGACTAAACATTTTCTGTAGGCTAAAACCTGTTTCATAATTTCCGTAAAATCTCAAAACAATCGTGAAAAAGTAAAAGGCTATCTTTGTTCCACCAGAAATGTATCACCAGTAAAATAAAAGAACTCACTTAGCAATTTGTCTGTAGTCTTCTCTGTTCTCTCTGCCAACATCAATGGCTTTCTCACACAGCTCTCTGCACTTGTCAAAATCTCCCTTCTCAAAGTACACAGCTGAAATGACAACAAATACAAGCACATGTTAAACACAAATAGAATACATTAACCATTTTACGCCATGTTAGATAAACTAAAACTGTATTTATATTACTGTGTATTCATTTATAGTTTATATCATAACTGTTTATGTTACAGTCACACAGCCACATTCTGGAGGATATTCCCAGATTCAGTTAAAAGGGCTAGATGTTACAGCCCCTGATAATGCAGGGACTGTAAAATATAGATGAAAAGTTTGTATGAGGTTAGTAAATGTTTAATATCTGAGAAAATATACCTGCTTGATTAGATATGTAAGTCATGTTTGTTGGGTCGTGTTTAATCGCTTCTTCATAATGTTTCAGTGCCGTTTCAAAGTCTTTATTCTTATATGCAGCATTCCCAAGCTCCTTTTCCTTTAAGGCCTGTTTAAAAAATATGAAATTAAGGATGAACAAAACTCAGACTATGGACTAATCAGAAGGTTGGATGTTTTAAAAAAACAAACAAAAACAAAATGCAACAACATTAGATTATTTACCTTTCTCTTGTTTTCAGGGAGGTCTTCCTCTTTGGGAGGAGGTGGCTGAGTCTCTTTGGGTTTTGCGGGAGGAGGAGGAGTTGGCTCTTCATCCTCCTCCATCTCAGAGAGGTTTAGTCCAAGAAGCACAGAGAGAGTAGTCATCACTCTGGGATCCTGCAGCTTCCTGACGATGACAAGAGGAATAAGAGCCAATTCACATTTTGGAAATAAATCTTAAATAACCTTCATAACTTTGTGCTCCCATTATACACTTTTCATTACTATTCCAGAACTTTTGACAAATTCTAAATATAATAAAAGTAACCCAGATTACTTAAAACTTGAGTTAAATCGGCAGATTGTTTTTGAAAATGCACATACGTTCCAAGCTCAGATGGTTTGCTCTTGAGCTGCTCTAGCAGTGCTCTGTAGCTGGGATCTGCCAGCAGCTCACGAGTCCGAGGATCACTCTCCAGCTTCTGATACAAGTTGGGCATGGCAAAGGGATTCATCATTGTTTTCTCTGGTGAAGAAAAAGTCTGTGTTGATTGGTGGTCACAAAGATTTTTTTTCCACAAATATTCAAACTGTTATGGGATTAAATTCACTAGCTTTTATCTTTCTGTAACTTGTAGTATTTACCCACAGTCTGATTAAAAACACTCCAAACGCAAGTGGACTGTCTCCTTCATTTTGAAAACCTAAGCTCAAAAAATGCATTTTCACTTCAGTGA